TCTCTCTATGGTAGCCTACATCATCTTTTATTTAATAGCATTAGAGCTGCTCCATTGCAGCGGCTTAGTACTGTAATCACGCAATTTGCTGTAAAAATGCAGGGAACCACTCGCTATAAATCTCCTAACTATGATATTTTCATAAATAGAAGTCGCGTTTTTTCATCTGAAACGTGCAGCGATTTATTTTCCAAAGGCACTCATATAATGCAGAAACACTCATGAAGCAAGCAAAACGCGCACCGCGCACATGTATTTGTAGGCTACTGGTGCAGAATGAAAGGGACAAGTACAGTACAGCCTTGCGCATTTCACACAGGCTGTTAGTTTCACTTTACTACAAACTTTCCAGTGATGTCTGTGAGAAAGGGATATTCACTCGACAAGCTCGCGCATCTGGTCCGCCGCGTGCTCAATCCACTCAGAGTGATTTGTTTACCAGCTGGCGCAAATCAGCTATACAGGCATTATTACTGAATGTTTTATATTCATTGCATACATATACTTCGTAGGCATCTTTAATCTCTAATAACTCCATTCTGCTGTCTGTTGTCTGTGTTTCTTTGTCTGAATATGGCACTTATCACATGCTGTGTGGTATCGGCGTTTGGTATCGGGGCATTTTAACGAGTACGAGTACGAGTACAGGAGCTCAATATCGGGCCCGATACCGATACCAGTATCGGTATCGGTGCATCCCTAATTCTTGCTAAATAAAAGTGTTAATTTATTTAAAAAACAAACAAACAAACCCCTGAACCCCAAATTTTGAAGGGTATATTTGAATATTTATGTATGTTTGATGTATTTTTTATTCTTTTGTTGCTTTATTAGTAGTGTAGCTAACTGCTTGTTTAAAGTTATAGCTTGAGTGTGTTTAAACTACTTTAAAAAATCTGTAGTTTCAAAGTAGCTTCCCTAACTACGGAGCCCCGCACATGACATGCAAGAAAAAAAAAAAATCGTGGACACAATTTATTAATTCGTTACCTCGATTTACTAGATTGTGTGCACGATTTATTAATTCGTTCCCTCGTTTTAAGTAAATCGTGCGCATGATTTATTAATTCGTTCCCTCGATTTACTAGATCGTGCGCATGATTTAATAATCCGTTCTCTCGTTTTAAGTAAATCGTGCGCTCGATATAATAATTCGTGCCCTTGTTCTAGGTAAATCGTGCGCACAAAATAATAATTAGTTGTACTGTCTGCGTACACATTCTCATAAACCTGTTGCTGTTATGTCATGTTATGTTATGGACAGAGACACTTTAATTGGGTTTTAATTTGAGTTCAGCCTGTTCACAAAGAAGGCGGATACGATACGTAGCCTACTGAAGATGAATAAAGCACCAGCTCCTGTTAGGAGGTAATGATTAAAACGATTTACATAGAACAATGGCACGAATTATTATATCGAGTGCACGATTTACTTAAAACGAGGGAACAAATTTTTTTATCGTGTGCACAATCTAGTAAATCGAAAGGAACAAATTAATAAATCGTGCACACGATTTACTTAAAACGAGGGAACGAATTATTAAATTGTGTGTCCGATCTAATAAATAGAGAGAACGAATTAATAAATTGTGCCCACAATTTATTTTTTCTTGCATGTCATGTCTCCGTACCTAACACTGGTAAGAACAACATAAAAAGGTTAAAGAAGTGCAGAAGTGGTGAGTGAGAGACGCCTTGTTTTTCTCCCAAGCTGATATAGTGTGAATATTCCCAGAATGTGTGGACCATATGCAATGATCTCAGAAACCAAAAGTGGTGTAATAAATCACTTCAGAGGAAGTAAAAACCCCATTCTACAATCAAAATGCTTTTGAGCAGAGTTAGGCCAGCTTGCAGCTCTTGTTTGTCACTGTCAGAAACTGAAACACACAATGGATCTCAGATTTACAAAGCAATACCTTGAGGACTGATAAAAGATATTGTTTGATATGTTGTCAAAGGTTGAGATTTTTTCTGTGAATTCATGTTTTCCTAATGTCCTCACAGGCCAATGGGTTTGGAAAACCCAATATCACTCTTCAGGACTCCCAATGCAAAGCAACCTCCAACACCACCCACTATATACTAGAGACGCCCTTGTCTGACTGCCAAACCAGCAAAATTCCCTCCCACCCCAGCCCAGTGGTCCTCTATATCAATTCAGTGAGTACTTAAAGCAAATATACAATCAATAATATCAGACTGTGAAATCTAGTCCTTGTTTGCATTGCTTTGTCCGATGGATGCGAGTGTACAGGTTCAGTGTCCCTTCCAACATGCTGTATCTGTTTTCTCTGTTCACTGATGATTCACTTCCACACTGACCTTCTGCGATAATTTCTAGTGGAAATTCCTAACAACACTTTTAGCCTTGAACCCATTAAAAAAACTGGGCGACCTCCCAAATATTTATCCTTTACTATGAACCCTAAGCCTCAAGGACAATTAAAACAATGTGACCCGTATGGTCAGAGCACAGTACTGGCTCACAGAGAAGGATCCAGAGAGCATCAAAGGAGATTGTTGTTGCAATGACAATCTTATGACAAATTGGCTTGTCTTGTGTCAGTCAATTTCACCTCCATTAGACAATGTTCACAGGCCTCTTTCACCATTGAACCCAAAAATTGTTCTGAGCTCACAGGGAGGTGATTCTCATACTATAATGTAAATGGATTGACATTTTTTCCGATGAGAAGATCTGAGATGGATTTTTTTTTTGTTCATCTGCCTTGGGAGTTGCATTGCTGAAATGATGCATTCCCATGTATTAAATCCAGCTTTCTCATATGTTTCGGCAGACCTTTGGCAAGTATACATTTCGATTATCTCTGACTGTATCTGTGCTAAGCACCAGAGTGAAGCAATGTCATTTCTAAGGAAAGTTTTATAGAGGAAAGTGTATGATTGTTAGGAAATTGTTGGGTTTACATTGCCTTATTACTGAGAAGTCATGAACTAGGTGTGTCTGTGATTGACAGATTGTCATTAGCCAATCAGAACAGAAGGATGGAAGTGGCTGGCCCTTTGAATATGAAGATCTGGAGTCAGGAGATGTTGTAATACCAGGAGATCCGGATGTGACAGAAAAATTTTTACCTGAAAACGGGCATCGTGCGACTATCTTGGTATGATATTTACATGTCAAACTGTAATATTCATAAATGATACATGATTAGTTCACCCAAAAATGTATATTGAAAAACCCTAATGTGAAAAAAATAACAATTTTCTCCTACTGCATTTATTTGATCAAAATACAGTAATATTTTTCATGCATATTCATATTTTCCAACTCTCTCTTTCTCTGTCCTTAGTTCAACTGCACGTACCATAAGAACCAGGATACCCAAGTTGACAGTGATAACGGATCTGATGATTTCGTTGTAGACTCTCTAGATAATGCTACCTTCAACATGGAACTCTATAACAATGCGTTCCACAACCCCAGCACTCAGTCCTTCCTCACCATCGCTGAGAACAGACCCATCTATGTGGAGGTAAGCATATACATATACCACAGTATGGTTGAATGCTTGATTCTGATCAATTAAGATCAGTTCCAAGATGTTCAAATACATTCCTGGCTTGTTCACCCATCACACACACACACATACTCTCTAAACACAGAAGCGTTTTAGAGATAAAATCCTATTGTACACTACTGTTCAAAAATTCGGTAAGCTATTTTAATGTTTTTTTTTTTTTTTTAACTCTCTTATGCTCATCAAGGCCAGATTTATTTTACATTAAACAGCAGTGATATTGTGAATTATTATTGCAATTTAAAATAACTGTTTTCTATTTTATTATATTTTAAAATGTAATGTATTCCTTTAAAGGCAAAGGTCACATTATACTTTCAGATGCTGATTTGGTGCTCAAGAAACATTTCTTCTAATTATCAATGTTGAAAACTGTTGTGCTGCTTAATATTTTTGTGAAAACTGTGATAAATCCCAAACTTTTAAACAAAGTGTGGAAACACAAAGTACAATGTGGGGCATTACATTGTGCAATACATATATTTTGTATGTGCATTATGATGGAAAAGATTCCTTCGGGGTTCAATAAAACCATTTCCAGTTCTGTAACCACATTAGGAATCCAATTTAATAATTTAATGAGAAACCATATACACAAATATAGTCACTGCCAAAAGCTCTTGAAATACAAGATCTGCTTTTACTTTTAAACCATAATGTGTGGTTCTCATTGTGTATGGTTTCATGTTTCTAATACCATAAGCGCCTGGTGTCTGTGTGACTGATCAGACATTGTCCTGAATTTGTGAGCGTGTGTTTAGATCTCTCTCTCTCTCTCTCTCTCTCTCTCTCTCTCTCTCTGTCGGTCGGTCACTGTGAAAGAAGTCAGCAGTCTTATATATATATATAATATATATATATATACTGTATATATATATAATTGTTGAGCCCTGCATTAACACCCCATTTATACATGCAGAATCTGTTTTCGGTTTGCCAAATTGCAATGGACTCCAAAATCTGACCTCTCCTAATAATAAAGGAAATGCAGTTTTAAGCCTGTTGATTATAGTAAGCTCTTGTATCTTATGAATGAGGTTCATGATGTCCTTTGAGGATTGTGGTGCTTCTCTCTTTGTAGTGTATGCTACCAGATGAAGCCTGCACGTCCCTCAGTGCGGACAGCATCCTTCTCATGATGAGGAACACCAAGACCATCACCAAGCCAATGGTGGTCGTCTCCGACAACACACCTGTCACTGTTAACGTACCTGTGGAGCCACCTAGTCATCCAGGTAAATATCACATAAAAAATCACTGTGAAAGAAGTCAGCAGTCTGCTTTGTGTGTACATTTCGTCTGGTCCGTATTTAACGAATAAATTCCTCAATGTGCATTAAAAAAGTCATGTGACTTTGCGCGATGGGATGGCACAGCATCTGAAATGTTGATTTGGTCATTCTGAAATGCCTTAGCCAAGGTCTGTGTCTTTCACGACTGCAATCCCAAACAGCAGGCATCCGCCTTCGAAAGCAAGATAATATGACTGCATTTATTGCATTTTGTCTGTGCCCTCTGAGGCGCAAGTAATTTATTATATATGAAAAAAGACCCACAATGACTTCCCCTACAGCAGCAAATGACCTTTTTCTTCGTGATATTTGCCACCTGTTTATCAGGAAGTGATGATTTTGTTCTCTTTATCTCACTGATAGAAACAGTGCTTTATTTGCAAAAGTTTTATGTGATGTTCCAATTTTGCGCACAAGTTAAATCCGCAACTTTGGATGGAAACATAGCTAATGATATATTCTTAAGCTTGTCACAAAACAGTGAATCTAATAACTACAGTGGTTTACTTTATACTATTTTGTTCATTCTTTAAGTTAGGTGTATTTAAAAAAGAAAGGGTGTCATGTACATTCTCCTATATGCAGCATAAACTTTAGTCAAGCTGTCAAACCACAAAAAGACAAAATTGTTACCGGAAAAATATCTATACATATAATGTCTATACTCTAATGTATCAGCCTATGGTGAAGTATGCACATTTACAACGTGTGTCATGCCTTTTTAATGTATTATGTAATATTGTTTTTTAAGTAAATATATCCTTGTTTCAAGGACTTTTAGATATTTTATCTGGAAAATTAGATAAAAATATTCTTTGCCAATAGGATTTTATCAGCGTGTTACGGTGTCAAAGAGTTAATGCAGTAATACAATTCTGACAACATTCACTTACGTTGTTCCAAATGTAGATTCCAGCTTTGCCAATTTTAGACAGTGATCAGTGACTGTAAATCCAAGTCTATTGGAAACATACAATAACTTTGTGCGGCATAAATACTGAAGTTTAAATTATTGCCCTCTGCCTCATATCTCTTTTATGCATTACAATATTCAATTGACACTACTGGTTCTCCCTTATAACCAAATGTGTTGCAGATGTGTTGCAAGATGTTCAGTGGAAAATTACACAATTTTTTGATTGTTCTCACACAAAGCTACTTCAGAAATATAGCAAGTCACTGTTGTCAAGTCAATGTTATTTATGGATCTTACGCATTACTGTTTGAGGATCATCGACTGCCTACCTGAAACGATCCGGCCACTCTCCAGAGAATTACTCCTTGGCACAGCTCTGTTGAGGAAATGGAATGCAATGTTTTTTGTGGCAGCTCTTATCTGTCATGCATGCTTTTACAGCATCAGATGGCCAAACTTTTACAACTGAATGATCCTTGAAGATTTCTTTGAGGCACAGAAATCTGACGTCAGAATTTGTGATTCTTGGAACTGTAACCACTCTGACAGTGTTTCTTTAGACAGTGTGCCATGTTAAAACAAATCGACAGCCACTGTGCGTTATTTGCCGATTTGAATCGATGCCTGAGAGAGTTTGTCTAATAAAACTCACTCAGACCGATCAAAAAAGATAGACTGAGCGTGTCTGCCAGAGGACTAGACGTAATATATAGCATCTAAACATCACTCTGCTGATCCATCTCATACTATATGAATCACTTTTGATCGTATTTATGAAAAATTGTCAAAAAGTTGTATTAATCAAGATAAAGAAAGCAGTTTTTCTTTCTCTCTTTGTCTTGCTGTCTCTCTCTTTTATTGTTTGCAGCATAAGCATATTTTGTCTCGCAGGAAAATTACTTTTTCTTTATTAACAGAGACATGTGACCTTTCTCCACAGATTTCAGCCACAAAAGCCGATCCTAACCTTGGATTCATGATCCAGACCTGCTTCATATCTCCAGACTCCAGTCCTTTTATGCCGTCAGACTATGTTGTCATAGAGAACATATGTCCAAAGGACGACTCTGTGCTCTATTACCCTCAGCGAGGCGATTTCCCCATCCCTCACGCTCAGATGGACAAAAAACGCTTCAGTTTCACCTACAGATCAAAGTTCGACGTATCATTGCTCTTCCTGCACTGTGAGATGTCCCTCTGCTCCAGAAGAAATGAAATGGAGATGAACCTGCCAGAGGTACAAACCATCATCTAGCATAGCAGCTCTGATCTAATGAGCTGCCTTTGTAGGCAATATTTTGTAGGATGTACAGAATTGCTACTTATGTCAGTCCAACAATGATTTTGTGATTTTTTTTTTTATATATTTTTGTCCCCAAAAGATTTTTTTCTTAAAAATTATCACAATATTTGCTGCATATTTTGTGTTGATTTGCAGTAAAAACTCACCAATAATCATTATCTATTTGTATAATTAGAATTAGTTACAGTAAGATTACGTGTACATTATTTTGTGCTTAAAGGGATAGTTCACCCAAAAATGAAAATTTGCTGCTAATTTATTCACTCCCAGGCCATCTAGATATACAGTAGGTGACTGTTTTTCTTCAGTTGAAAAGTAAAGGAGATTTTTAGCTGAAACGGTGAATCTGCAATGCAAATCAGTGACTACAATCACATTGCGTGTCAAAAAAAGCATATCAGGGAACACAAAATACATATAGGTCTTATGACGTGAAATGATCAGTCTGTGCAAGAAACTGAACATTATTTATAATATTATTACCTGTTATCCATAGCCTCAGGCAAGCGGCCTGGAGTGATGTGCGGTTCACGAACAAATTATTCTTTTGAACTGGTTCTTTTTAGTGAAATGAATGAACCAGTTCAACATATCGGACTGAACTGTCTGAAATAGCTCGCTGGTTGAGCAGGACAGATCTACAAGTTACTTTGTTATCATCATACATGCATTTCTTCCTTATTTCCTTAATATTTTTGTATTATTTATATATACCTTTATAGATGACCCTGTGATAACAGTTCCAATTCCTTAAACTATGTTCCAATTCAAATCAATTTTAACTGATTAATATAAACTGTAGGTGTCTTGGCTCATTGTCCATTTTTTAGTGAATGGATTACAGGTAATAATGTTGTAAATAATGTTCAATTTCTTACACAGACCAATCATTTTGCTTCATAAAACCTCAATATATCATCAGGATATTAAGTTTTTGTTCCCTGATTTACTTTTTCTGACTCTCAAAGTGACAGTTGCCACTGACTTGCATTTTATGAATCACCAAGGATAACGGTTTCAGCTAAAAACATTCTTTACTGTTCTACAATTAAATTTTAATTTTTGGGTGAATCCCTTTTATTACTGAAAACAATTTTTGCCTTCATGGCCAGTCCATTTCTGCTCATTTTATGATAAAATTCACTGTAATGTGGCAGCAGGACAGTTAAACATATTGAGCGATTTGTATGCACTCAGAATTGTGGATTTTGATTGGCTAAAATTGCTTTTCTCCCCTCAGGTTAATGGTTTTTACAGAAACATTTTGGAAAGAAGACAAAAAGCTAGCACAAATAATGCAGAAGTTGGTTGAATTTGCAGCAGTTCTCATATTCAGTATCACAAAATCCTGGAGGGACTGCTATGTAGAGCTTTCCAAATGGGTCACTCATGAACTTCCATTTCAGTTATGATGCTGTCTTAGAAAGAAGATTCCTATTTAGGCAGTAGGCAGTAAGGCAACTCACCACGTTTTGGAACATAGCCTTTACCTCCTTCAGCTTTGCTATCATCATACATGCATTTCTCTTTCAGTTATTTAATATCTTTATATTATTTATACATGTCTTTATAGATGACCCTTTGATAACAGTTCCAATTCATTAAACTATGTTCCAATACAAATCAATTTTAACTGGTTAACATAAACTGTAGGTGTATTGGCTTTCACACAATCAGATTGAAAATCAATCAACTGCATTATCATTTACCGAATCAAAATTAGCTGCACTGTGTGTGTTTGTTTAATTTTAAGCCCCTTTTATTGACCCTAGGACATATTTTCAGAGTAGTTGCTTTATTATATGGACAAGATGAACACAATCTTTAATTCATTTATATAGTCTGTTTGACTTTGCTGTCCATCCTAAGAGTTGCTTTTCGATTCATAGCCTTGGCACGGGTCACTCTACGCCAGCTGCTAGCATCAATCCACGCTCTGTGAGTGCGGGATTCGTAAATCTTAGGTTACTTCTATTACCATCCACAGAGGAAAAACAAATCTCCAACTTTCACTGTCCTTTTTCAAATTTTCCTTCCTCCCTCACATAATTCTCCTGCATTTTCAGACGCTCTAATCATCATATTGCACGTTAAGGTTGTTTATGTCTCACCTAACATGATATTGAAAGTGACTCATTGTTTGGTCGTAGATGTTTACAGTTCAGTCATAATCTGGATGAGGATAAGAGACGTGACATGTCAAACCATATAAACTGTGTATGAAATTAAGTGCTTTCTCTGCTAAGAGCGTGTGCTCAGTTTGGCTCAGGCATAATAGCTGCAACAAATTGAATGGCTTTAATGGCTTATAACATACACTAATCCATGCTTATGAAGAGCAAAGTAAAAAATGTTATACATTACAGGGCTTAAAAATAAGGATGGTCTGATGGGGTCACTATGAGAGCGTTTCAGGCCAGTTGATTCTAAGGCCAGTATTGCATTGTTGTGCATATTTAACAAATCAGTAATGTTTTGCAAATACTGATAGATAAAAAGGTAAAAAAGCTGTCACTGCGGTGGTACCCTTGAAAAAGGCACGTTTAAGGTGCTAATATGCAAAAATATGTTGCTAAAAATAAAATAAAATGCAAAATCATATCTTTGGTAAGGCCTCTGAAAATGTTGGAAGTTCTTGACCAGACCTACAGAAAAAATAATAAAAAATCCACAAAAATCAATCCTTTGAAAAGTGTATTTTAAATCATGTGCATTCACATAAGATGAAGACTCCAGTCATTTCAGTCTTGTAGAAGAAGCTATTTTATTTGTATTTTTTTTTGAGGCTTAGATATTTTGAAGAACATGGCGTATATGAAGCATCATGGGAGAATGTGTGTGTCTAAAGTTGTATATGTGTCGGTCACTCACAGATCACAGGCCGTGTCTTGCTTTGTGGTGCATTACTCCCATCTGGAGTCTTTGAATATGTGGTAGTGTTAAGTATGTGTGTATTTGCATGTGTCTGTTTATTGTGCATTCAGCGTGGTTTGAGAGTATATGTGGTTCATTAGAGATGTGGGACAAGGGACTCATAGATGCATCAGATGAGTGCAAAAAGACCAGCCTTCCATATCTGGATAGCATTTGTTTTCACTTAAACATTCTTTAAGGCCTCCCTTTCCCATACAGAGAGAGGGGAAAAGGGGAGTGGAGGATAAGGAAAAAAAGTGAGAGTGATAGAGAAAAGGGCTCTTATGCACTGCATACCTGCAGTCTCCTTTGCGGCAGAGTGCATTTGCCATAAATATATTGTGTAGCATACTCGAGTACAGCAGGGTGGTGTCTAAACATTTTACAAATAAACTTAATTTAACCATGACTGATTTGTTCTCTTCCCTGCATCCTCTTGGCAACACTGCACCTATTGTGATTAGAGTGAGTCAACATTACTGACTCGCAGCCTTAATGAAAATAATTCAGTTTAATAACACAATGTTGCTGTGCTGCTTGTAGCAAATGGACCATGTGTCTATTAGTCACACTTGATTAGGAAATGATTGCCACTCCTGAAGGATGCAGGCTGGGATTTTACTGGCCCAAGTCATGTCTTATGTAAGTGTATTTGTTTCTGAGTAGAAGCAAAATCAAAGATCAGTTCCATAGCATCAGAAGACACATACTTGGGAAATCTGGAGTAAATTCAGATTGTATGTGAATTCAATGTGAATCCAGTGTGGGTTTATTCTTCATAAACAGGCTTGTGTGTGTTGCCGACGCCAGGCTTATTTTCTCTGGTGTGGATTAGGTAAACACAGATATGCCATAAAAGTAATGAAAACAGTTTTTGCGTCTGATTTTGAACACAAAGACGACTCTTGTACAGACATGGCAGAAAAGCAACCTCTCAAAAAGGCTCAAAGTGCCGCTCTGGACAGGATCCCAAAGTATTTGGCTTAATCTACAAATCAAAGAGGGCAGTTTGTGGGAGTGCCATGCTTTGTGAAAAACACAGCAGAACAAAACATTGCCATCCGAAAACAGATTTATGATCAGAAAACATCAATAATTCCCTACCCTTTTGGTCTAAAACAGAGGTACAAACTCAAATTAGATTGTTGTAAATGTCTTAAAGGGGTCATGAACTGCCTTTTTTATTTTGTACTGTTCTCTGAGGTCCACTTATAATGTTATCAAGATTTTTTGCATCAAAAAACATCATCATTTAGAAGTAAGAGGCTATTTTCTGTCCTGTTTTGACCCCCTTCATCGGAACGCTCTGTTTGAAAAGTCGTGGCGGATTGTAGATGTTTGACAGTTTACATTCTTCATAGATGGATGCTGCTGTGATTTAGGTTAAAAACGCATAAATACTCAATACATATTAAATGATCTGTAATAACAGACAAAGCAATCGTGACCACGTAATAAAAACAGTTACTCACACTTGTGTAGTGCGACATTACTGTCGGAGCCAATATATTCGGCACAGCATCGTCTCTTAGTTTCAATATTTCTGAAAATCCTGCGTCGAATTGTGCCTTGTTTGTAAACAAATCCATGGTAAAATGAAGTGAGCAAAGGACCAAGTTCTTACTGACGCGGTCTGGATCTTCATTAAAAATTAAGTTCATCCAATCTTTCTTAATGTTGGGATCAGAAGGAAGGTGATGGAAAGACTGTGTTTTTTCCACAGGTTGGCGCTGCACAGCGTCTTGTTGTCTTTGGAGCATCTTTATCGTTTGGTTTCAGCATAGACCTACGTTTGCCTCTCTCATTATTTATACTACATGCGTGAATTGGTGGGCGGGGCTAAACAGGAAGTGATGTAGAAGTAGTCATTGATCTTCTTCTGTGGAGGCAGGGTTTAGCCACACTATTATGTCATAAAGTGGCACATTCCACAACTTGTCATTTTGGCAGATTGGCTGCAAGTAGGCTGATTTTAGACTAACGAGAAAGTTTTGAGTTCGGAAACTTACAGGATGTTTTTATAGTACTATGACCTCTTATATGTCAAAAGATCAAGGGAATTTTGATTTCTCAGGTCATGACCCCTTTAAAATAAACATATAAATGTCTCAATAAAAGATGTCCTTGTAACAGCTCATGTAACAGACGACACACTTTAGTAACTGTGGTGCTTCTAATTAAAGGAGTAGTTCACTTCCAGAATGAAAATTATGTCATCATTTATTCACCCTCCACTTGTTCCAAACCTGTATGAGTTTCTTTCTTCTGTTGAACACAAACGAAGATATTTTGAATAATGTTGGTATCCAAACAGTTGATGAGCACCATTGACTTCCATGGTATTGTTTTCCTACTATGGATGTCAGTGGTGCTCATGAACTGTTTGGATACCAAAATGCAGTTGCATTTTACAAAATATATACTCATCTCTGTACCAATAAAATGTGCTCCACTTTACATTTTATAACAAAATTACATGCATGTATACATAATTGGGAGGTTTGTGTCTGCGGAAGGAAATAAGTTATACCTGGCTGATACAGCTGCCGTGAGAGTCCTGAAAGAGAAAAGACCTAGTACAGTTGGGAACTGAGAGCAGTCATGGTCTACTCAATACATATTAAATGATCTGTAATAACAGACAAAGCAATCGTGACCACGTAATAAAAACAGTTACTCACACTTGTGTAGTGCGACATTACTGTCGGAGCCAATATATTCGGCACAGCATCGTCTCTTAGTTTCAATATTTCTGAAAATCCTGCGTCGAATTGTGCCTTGTTTGTAAACGAATCTGCGGTGAAATGAAGTGAACAAAGGAAGTTCTTACTGACGCGGCCTGGATCTTCATTAAAAATAAAGTTCATCCACTCTTTCCTAATGTTGGGATCAGAAGTAAGGCAATGCAAAGACTGTGTTTTTCCACAACTTGGCACTGCACAGCATCTTGTTTTGGGATCAGAAGTAAGGCAATGCAAAGACTGTGTTTTTCCACAACTTGGCACTGTACAGCGTCTTGTTGTCTTTGGAGCCGTCTTTATCATTTGATTCTGCATAGACCTGTGTTTGCCTCTCTTATTATTTACCCACTACGTGTGTGAATCGTTGGGCGGTTTAATTATAATAAACAGGCAGTGATGTTGAAGCAGCCGTTGATCTTCTTCTGCGGAGGTGGGGTTTAGCCACTATTACATCATAAAATGGCACATTCCACAACCTGTCGCTTTGGCAGATCGACTTCAATATAATCGGTTTTTAGACTAACGAGAAAGTTTTGCGTTCTGAAACTTACAGGATATTTTTATAGCACATTGACCTCTTATCTGTCAAAAGATCAAGAGAATTTTGATTTCTCAGTTCATGACCCCTTTAATTTGAATTTGGTGTGCTGGTAATCAAGTCCAAGTTGAAGGTATTATGAATACAACAAACTTTATTAGGAGATGCATGACAAATTAAAACAATATGTGTTTTAAAATCGGCTCAAAATATCAGCATGTTTGATATCTTCCATCTGGACAGGTTTAGTCTGTCAGGCTGTGGCCATCATACACTACACAATTTTCAGTGAAATCTGTTAAATCTGACAGCCCAAAATCTGCAGACTGGTTCTGACTTCTAGCACTGAACTAGCACTGATTCCTACAGAATGCAAATCAAGGGGGAAAACTGTCTAAACGTTGAGTAGTGTATTCCAAACCTTATGAAAAAAGAATGTTCAGTAATGAAAAATAAGTATTATACCAAACCAGTCAGGTCAGAGATAAAGCACAGCTAAAGCAGATAAAAGACATATAAACAGATAAAACTTGATTTGGGACAAAAACTGGTTTTGATCTTTGTGTAATTAACCTCTTTATACGACAAGAATTCTTCATTCCATGAAGCATTGTGAATGATGTAATCAACTATTTTTTTTTTTTTTGACTCTGTGTGATTGGATTCCAACTTCCATAGTAACTTGTGGCTTCTATGAAATTATATAGCACTACCTAATGACTGTCTTCAAAGATTTATGTTTTTGCTAAAACAGTTTTTCTCAATGAATAAAATAAATGGGATTTTTACTTCTAGAACTTCTGTGCTCTATACCGCTGAATCAGGCAAGCACATCATCTTGTTGAAGTTTGTCTCATCTTTGTCCAAAAAATACACACAAAAGTATTGTTCTTGCGCTCAAGTTTACTTCCTTTTTGAAACCCAGCTAGCTCTAAAAAGGGTGAAGTAAAGAACAGCACAAATATGTTTGACACTCGGGAGGAGATCTTGGGCGGTGGAGACTACATAGAAATGTAGTCCAAGTCATTATGGCTAGTTCATTTACTTCCCTCTGAGATACTGTACAGGGATTGTGGGTGGAGTAGCTCAGCCAAACTTATGGCAATGGCAAAGTAAACCACATCCCTGGCTCTGAGCTTTGAGCTGACATAGCTTCTCCCAGGAATCCTCTAAACATACAAGCTTTTATTCCCTATTCTGTTTTGCTTCCTCTTGTAAGCCTGAAATGCAGTACATTGTGAGATTCTGCTTTATTATTGATTTTCTGCCTTGCTTAAAGGGATAGTTCACCCAAAAATGAAAAATTTGTTATCATTTGCATTCCAAACCATTATGACTTTGGAACACAAAAAGACAATATTAGGAAAATCAGTGGAATCTAATTTCAGTGTATTAAAAGGCATTTTTCATGTTGTTAAGCTGATGATACACGGGGCAACTTTTTGAGCAATGTTGCCGGGCAACTTTGGGCAATGTTGTCGCCAACGGGCAACCAGATGAGACACAGGGCCCACGACAGATCTAAAGTATCCAGATAGACATTTGTTATCCATTCTCAATGTGAAAGTGCCCAAGCAACATTGCTCAAAAAAAGTTGCCCGGCAAAATTGCTCAAAAAGTTGCCCCGTGTATCATCAGCCTTAGGGTATGTAACATTTTAGAAACCATAAATAAAAGTACTTTTCCCAAACTTTTGAACAGTAGTGTATTTTTTGAATACTCCCTCCTTTGCCCAGGCCTCAAAAACACATATATAGACAGAGGTGTTGATGGCAAGCTTTATATTTTTTAGCTGCCCTCCACAGATATGATATAGGGGATGATTGTAGTGGTGATTCAGGGTAAAGGGTAAAGCATGAGGTGGGAGCTGTTACATAGCTCTCACTCTTGTTGTAACAGAGCGCTCCAGCGATAGTCTGTCATCAGTCTGTCAGAGGGGATGAAAATTTGAAGGTGCTCTTTCTGAGAATAGCCTCTATTGTGCCTGGGATTTTGGCGCTGGACCAGACAGGCTATGAAGCTGGCGGCCACACAGGGTCTATTGTGCTGTGTGATCAATGATCATTAGAGCTAATTAGAGCTCTGAAAGTCATTCAGTTTCTGGCGCAAGTCCAAGGAGATGATTGGCTTGCTCACGGATGCCACTGCAAAGCCCATACGAAGCATGAGCTCTTAGTTTCTACAGTACGTGGTCACCAAACACTTAGAAAAGACAGCATGTAAACATCATGAACCACAACATGCACACTATCCTGAGATAAAACAGGTTCACCATTCTGTAATATCCAGTTAAATTTACAATAAAAAAAAAAATCCCAATTGCTACACTCCTAATAGCGATGTATCAAATATTTACCAAGCTGTACTGAAACCTCGACCACAGAGTGAGACATTTTAACTGCTACATGCTTAACAGACATAATTTAATATATTTATTAACATTTTTCTTGCAGGCATTATATATTTCTTGGACACCCCAATTGTGGTGGGCATCGCTTTTGCTGCCTTTGTGATTGGAGCCCTTCTGACTGGAGCACTATGGTTCATCTACTCGCATACAGGTGAGAAAATACTGCATATTCACATCACAGCCTTGAACTCATCTGACCATTGTTCTTATTCCCTGCATCACACTAATTAGTACTGAGAGTTATGCATTGTGTCATTTATCATATTGTCAAAATAAGAAAGGAAACATGCTCATTTCTGATAATCGGAAAGGCTTGCCAGTTCTCTTAGTAGCAGCGATATGTTAACAATAACATTTTAACTCCAAGCTCGTAAATATATCCCGTTTGTCAGCAGAAGCGCATCTGTCTTCTCCGTTCTTTCAGGCAGTGGGGGGGGGTGTCCGCTGGATGGTCGACAGTATTTTGGGTACAATAGCCCGAAGGAGACTGGAATTCCCCCTGTCCGCTGTGAGGGTGTCTCCAGGCCTCACAGGAAAATACATATACAATCCTCCCTCTGAAAATGCCAAGATTCACCCACCCCTCCTCCCTGCATTGCCCTGTTGTCGCCAGGCCGACGACCTCTGTTGACCCTCCAGAGGAAGCACATGCGCTTTCTTAGTCCCCGTTTCCGGTCTTTTGCATTCCCGCTAGTCCGGCCCCTGGTTTCTGTCCTCAATGCCGTTGACCTGCTACCGTTTCATGGCGCTTGATTGAAGGGAGTCCCGTTTTGAACACTGTTCCAGAATCTGTAGTTGTGTAGGCCGATGAGTATCAGTATGTTGACAGAGGATCAAAGCCTTTCTGGATTTTATCTATTTTTTGGGTTTTTAGAACATGTATATCTTGGATATATCCGTGTCTTGACATAAAAGGAGTCATGTTTAGCTTTTATTAGCTTTCATTTTTATTCTAGTTTTTTTTTTTTTCCTCAAAAACATAAATCAGTGTAATTTTTATTAATATTGCCTGTGGTATTCAGTTGGGATGACATTATCCAGCTGTGTTTCTGCTCACTGTTGTTAAACGGGCCTGAAGAGCTCAGATCAGGTAACCCCAGAGAATTTATTATTATTTGCCTGTTTATACTGGCATCTCAGATCAGGGTGGCACCGTTGAATTTGACTACCCTCTAAGTTTATTTAAGATCAAAACCGTGACTTTTTCTTGTCAGAAACAGGTGTTAAATGTTCAAATGAAAAGAAAAAAAAAAGTGTGGTTGTGGTGTAAGCTCTGATCATTCCAACCATGTGTTTCTCATAATGGCACTGATTAATTCATACAAGCTAAAGGCCTATCAAACCACAGTTTTATAAAGTATTCAGTCATATTACTTAAATAGCCCTATATGGAATCATTTTGTTTGTTTGTTTTTTTATACTGACGTTAACCCCAAGTTCTTTTCATGTTTGGAATAGCCTAAATTATAGACTCATGTCAGATGAAAAAAAAAATGCTAAAAGATGAAAAATTTGAAAACAAGGTGGTGCTTTTCCTCCCCTGGGAAGTGCAGGAAAATGCAAGATAGAGGCTTTGGTGAAATGAAAGAAAAAGGCAAAATCCTCTTTCTCTCCGTCAGTTAGACCGACAGATTTATCGTCTGTTTTTCCCTAGTGCGTGACTTTGGCTGTCTCAAAGACAAATAATAGTCCCTGTTGTGTAGTGTAGTGCAGGACAAGGGTTACAGACTTTTTGTTGCCAAGAACCCTTAATTTAATATTGTGATATTATTAGGAAAAAAATGTTGTTTGACAAATTGAAATATGTGGCTTTTGTTTTTAGTACATTTTCATTGTACTAAAGCCAAAATGTGATTAAAATATTATATGGAAATAATTTACTCTGATTTTGTTAATTAACAGCATGTTTTGGTTCCTTCTTGATGCTTCTGGGAGTCAACCAGAATGTTTTATTTATTTTCAATTAAATTATTTTTAATAGATTTTAGTTTTACTTAACAGTAACAACAGTATAGTGTTAAATGCAGAGCACAAATTCCGAGTATGGGTCACCATACTTGTCCACATGTCACTTCACTTCACCATAGTATAGTATAGTATAGTGCAGTAAAACATTCAGTTCACACTTAATGCACATCCTTCACTGTTTTACACCAAAAGAGTGATGCGTATAATAAGTACCTGATTGTGAGTACATAATTGTAAAACATACATTGTTCCATACATTAGGGATGCTTCTATTTTAGGGAAAGCTACGTGTGGAATGTTGCAGGAGTCTGTTAGAAAACAGCTCCTGTAATCCTGTCACCATCCCTGTCGTAGATCACACTGATAGGTTAAGGACGCTGCCCCTGTGCACACAGAGTGGGAGTTACACAATGAAATGACACGGTCGAGTGGAAGAGGTCAACAAGCTGCCATCAAACTCTTTCTCACATATACACCAAAATGCATCTCTGTTTAGGGTAGTATTTCATATAATTATATAACCAACATATGTTGTTAGTCTGCGTGCTGCCACTGTGTACGTTCGCAAGAAGATTGGTTGTAAAAGAGAGGTGTACAGAGGCAGATAAGCCTCTGAGTCTAGTACACAGCGCTGGATGAGGAAATAGGCTGTTTTTAGCTGGAGCTCTTGGCAGCACATCTCTGGCACATATTAGCAACAGAGGGGCCTAAAACAGGGAAGCAGACACACGTCAAGTTGAGCTGAGAAGAGAAGCGCACACATAAACACACTTACTATTTACAATAGTGGGTTGGTGGAATTTATTTACAGACATTTTATAGAGATTTTGGATGTATGTAGTGTAGGAGAGGAGTGCTTAATAATATTGATATTTGAATCAAATGGCATGCAAAGCAAACCTGGAATTTGATTAAAAACTGTTCAACTCTCTGTCAGACACAAACTCTCTACAAGATGAATTACATGCATTCTTACTTGCCGCTCTGCTTCAGAGTTGAGGCCCCTGATAGAGGAATGTTTATATCCATCTAGAACAATAATCAGTGAAGACAAAGAGAGAAGAATGAGACAGACATAAGTCTTGTTCCAGAACTGAGTATACAACCTCCTTAGATGCCTTTTTTGGCCAAATTCAAATACAGCATTGCACGTTTCCTTAAAGGTCCCATGGCATGAAATTTTCACTTTATGAGGTTTTTTAACATTAATATGAGTTCCCCTAGCCTGCCTATGGTCCCCCAGTGGCTAGAAATGGCGATAGGTGTAAACCGAGCCCTGGGTATCCTGCTTTGCCTTTGAGAAAATGAAACCTCAGATGGCCCAATCTGGAATCTTCCCTTTATGTCGTCATACGGGGAAAGGTTACCTCCCCTTTCTCTGCTTTGCCCGCCCAGAGAATTTGGCCCGCCCATGAGAAAATGAGCTACTACCGTGCGAGGCGAGCGCAATATTTTTTTTTCCTCGAGAGACATCATGGCTTGCAAACGAGCGAAGCATGGCAGTTGCCCCGCCTCTCTCCTCCTCATTAGCATTTAAAGCTACAGACACAGAAATGGCACGTCCTAAGGAAGCTCATTGTGGGACTGGCTCGTAGTGGCTGAAATTCTGCACCAAGGCTGAATTTCGGGAAAGAGACTTCAGATACAGTACTAGGGACCACTTAGGCCTATATAAAAGCATCCAAAAAGCAGCATGTCATGGGACCTTTAAGAGAAAGCAATTCAAGTCCAGTGGTAATTTAAACCGAAGATGACGTGAGAACTGTTGACAGTGTTTTGTTTCAGTGGCAATATTTCAGTCACATAAAAGATATGTGACCATGCAGAAATGATCCAATGCTGTATTTATACTTTTGTAAGCGTAAATGAAAATTTATATAGGTTTGATAGAATTAAACGACTATATGTAATACTGAATATATTGCATTACACTCTCAGAAAAAAAAATGTGCAAAAATTGTACATTTAGGGTATAATAGCTTGTCACAGTGGACACCCTTGTACCTTCTTTAACCCAAAAGGGTTCATAATAGTACCATAAGAGTACTACCTTAAGGGTATGTGTTACTACTCTAAGGTACTAAACTGTTGTACCCATAAAGGCATATGCAAATATTCTTGCAGTGTACTAAGGCATTGGGATGAATATTTGCTGGTCCTCATAATGTGGTGCAATAGATTTAAAGGGGTCAAATGATGCGATTTCTATTTTTCCTTTTCTTTAGTGTGTTATGTAGCTATTTGTGCATGTATAAGATCTGCAGAGTTACAACCCTCAAAGTCTCCCACAAAAGGATTTATTCTATCTAAAAGAGAAGGCTGATCCAGACCGGGCTAAAATGCCTCATTCAAACACGCCCCCACATCTCTACATCACAATGTGGAAATATTTGCGCAATGCCGCCGAAATGTTCATGCAAAGAAAGATGGCGTGTTTTCAGGAACCGCAGTAGTGTTGATGCAGCCATGTCAGGGAGACGCTGTGTGTTTCTGTGCAAAAGCAAAAGCACTTTATTTGGCCTTCCGAAAGTAGATGCAATGAGGAATCATTGGTTAAGATTTATTTACAACAGAACAGCACAACCCATTTTTATTTTCTAAAAAAAAAATGGATCAATTCCGACTTTGCTATGACAATCTGGCGCTTATTCTGAGCTAATCAGCTACTGTAAGTATGTTTTCTTAATAGTTTAAGTATTTGCTATTGACTGTTCAAATGCGGAGTTTTGCGCCGTGTGTGTGTGTGTGCGTGTGTGTGTGTGCGTGAGAGAGAAACAGGGTCACATCACAGTGGAGTCAGCTTTCTTAATCGCGGCTTGTGTACTGCAAATACATACGAGCATCATCACTGTGTCTGTCACGCGACTCTGTTCCCCTTTCGGGCTTGAACTGATGGTAAAACTAAGGACATTATGTACTGTCTTTACATTTATGTTGAAAGCCGAAGCTCGCGATTATGGAAAGGAGCGTTACATTTCCGACGCGTGCTTGTGTTGTTCGGCCAATCACAATGCACTGGGTCAGCTGGCCAATCAGAGCAGAATGTGCTTGTCGGAAGGAGGGGCTTTGTAGAAAACAACAATAACCTTTTGTGCAATAGGAAGTTTCCATGGATGTTAAAAGTTGTTCTTGGAACCATAGATGCTGATAAAGAACCTTTATTTTTAAGAGTAAAGATGGTGATATGGTGATAATATACATATCAAGCATTCTAATCTGTATCCAACTTTCCAATCTGCTGCTATTGAAGCTATTCAAGTTTTTATGCTAATCAGTGCACAAAATGAATATACTCTTAAGTGCACCAACTAAACCACTTAATGCAAAAGGATTACTATGCTTTCATGACTTAACAGCTTCTGCCATTCTGAGAGACCTGAATCATAGAAAGTCACTGAAAGTCTCTGTAAGCCTTGATGTCCTATTTATCCATTTCTCTTTTCAGGTGGTACAGGAGCGAGGCAGCAGGTGCCAAAGTCTCAGCCGGTGTCTGAGAACAGCAGTGCGGCTCACAGTATTGGCAGCACACAGAGCACGCCGTGTTCAAGCAGCAGTAATGCATAGAGCAGCTGGACTGATGATGCTTCCATTGGCATTATGCTTTGTACATTTTTGGAAGAATATGTGATTTCGTAGCATGTCCTGAGGCCTTATTATTTTCATTATTCGGAATTGAAATGTTTAGGCTGAACATACAACCGGATGTAAAAAGCTACATTTAGAGGTGAGGGAAATAACCAAATCAAGATCCCAGAGAGTTTTGAAATGTTGCTTTTTTTTCTTGAACCCCACAAGAGAGTGTTGTTTTTGCCTTATATGGTTGAGATCAGCGTGAAAATAACAAAGGCTGTTTACATCACTTATTATGGCACGAAAGCGGTCTAGAGGAACAGTTAGTACTCTGCGAGGTTACACAAAGGCTCTGTCTTCACCTAAACAAAATCAAGCATACATATTTCAGAAATTTGACAAGAGAAATCTATTATGAATAGGCCAATATCAATATAATTAAGTCTTTTAAAACCCAGATGCCAATCATTTAAAGAAACACTCCACTATTTTTGAAAATAGGCTCATTTTCCAACTCCCCTAGAGTTAAACAGTTGAGTTTTACCGTTTTCGAATCCATTCAGCCGATCTCCGGGTCTGGCGGTAGCACTTTTAGCTGTAGCTTAGCATAGATCATTGAATCTGATTAGACCGTTAGCATCTCGCTCAAAAATGACCAAAGAGTTTAGATATTTTTCCTATTTAAAACTTGACAATTCTGTAGTTATATCGTGTACTAAGAC